TGATCTGACAGTGTGCATGGTATGATCTGTATTCTTTTGTATTTATTGAGGGCTGCTTTATGTCCCAGTATGTGATCTATCTTGGAGAATGTGCCATGCGCACTTGAGAAGAAAGTAAATTCCCTGGCCTCAGGATGTAAAGTTCTAAATATATCCGTCAGATCCATCTGGTCCAATGTGTCTTTCAAGTCCATTATTTCTTTAGTGATTTTCTGTCTGGTTGACCTATCCATTGCTGTAAGCAGAGTATTAAAGTCCCCTGCTATTAGCACATTCTTATCTATAAGCTTGTTTCTGTTTGTGGTTAATTGTTTTAGATATTTAGGTGCTCCCATATTTGGTGCATAGACATTTATGATTGTTAGTTCTTCCTGATGGATGGACCCTGTAATTATTATGTAGTGCCCTTCTTCATCTCTTGTTATTGTCGCCTTCACCACTTTCTAATGGAACTCACAGAAAGCGTCATTTCCTCATTGTGTCATGGGCGTGTAGTCGCCAAGCAGGGTTGTTCCCATGGAAGAGATGATGTGTGTGAGGAGCCCAGGAGCCCCTGTGGGTGCCTCTTGCCGGAGGAGTAGGTAGTCTGGGTCAGGCTCGAGGCCTCAGGCTTTGCTACAGACCTCAGAACAACACTTCATGGCCTGCCTAAAACTGCTTTTAAAGTTGCGTTCGGGGGCACCTGGGTGGCTCTGTCGGTTAAGCATCTGACTTTGGCTCAGGTCATGATCTCGTAGTTTGTGGGTTCGAGTCCTGCATCAGGCTGTATGCTGACAGCTTGGAGCCTGCTATGAATTTCGTGTCTCCCTCTCTTTTTTCTCCTCCCTTGCTCATGCTGTCTCTGTCTCAAAAATAAATAAACATTAAAAAAAAAAAAAGTTATGTTCGATGATGCCTGCCAGTAAAGTTCATGAAGCAAAGGACTTTTCCTCCTTTTATTAGTGTATGTCCTTAGTGCATTGAAATTGGCGTGAAACTAATAAATGTGGAATAGACAAAATGACAATTCATCAGTGATTGTGAAAATATCATTGTGAAAATAGCCGAATGACTTCCGCCTCTCTGGTAAAACTGGCCAGGGATTACATGGAAACTGAAAGCAAAGTCCTGTTTTTTGCTTTTACTGAGACTTTAAAAATGTACTTATCACTCTCATCCACAGGTTGCTTTTGGAAATAGATCCGGGCTGGTTCCTTTCCACCCCCACCCCTTCCCATACTCGTGTTTTCTGTGTGAACACACAGCCCACAGAAGTAGAACTATGTTGCTTCAACTTCCTATTGGCCTACATTTCTTTTAAGAATGTTGGTATTTGAGAACAAACTGAGGGCTGAGAGGGAGTAGAGGAGAGGGGAAGGTGGGGAGATGGGCATGGAGGAGGGCACTTGTTGGGATGAGCACTGGGTGTTATATGTAAACCAACTTGACAATAAACTAAAAAAAAAAGCTCTTAGAAGAAAAAAAAAGAATATTGGTATTAAATTATAATTATTAGTAGGGATTTTGATTGAGAAAATATTTTTTGCTTTTACTTTAATAGTGAAAATCATTCTGTTTTCTAAAATTGAAGGAGATCCAGAATGTGTGCATTTCATCACAAAGTCAAGAAACATTTTCAAGCAAACAGTCTTTAACTATGTACATAGACTGTGCAAATCAAATCTATATTTTCTGATGTTATGAAACCAGCATTGTTAGTGCCTATGACTCTGGCTTTCATTTTGGAAGGAAAACGGAGGATTAAGGCAGATTAGCATGTTGGGATAACGTTTGACTCCTTGTGTTCTGTGCGCTCACCCATAAAAGTCCTCCAAAGCTGGGTAGTTACCGTGGTGATGTGAGCCAAAGCTCAAGGTTTTGATTGGCTTGAAGCTTAGTACAGTGCTTGGTGGAGTAATAGACGAATCAGTAACGTGGGCCAGCGCTGACGTCTCCTGGGTGCATGAGGTTTCTGGTGATGCAGAATTGCCACAGTCAGGGCAGGCTCAACCCAGATAATCAGTGTTCAGGGAAAACATCTGTCTGCTTTCACCGTGCTCCTAATAGGCATGGATTATACCCAAGAGGCTGGAGAGAGTCTGCAGAAAGCACTACTGTGGGGTTTAATGAGAATAAAAGCAACACTATTACAGCCTCCATTTACTGAATCAGCCTTGGTTCTAGACACTCTAGGTGCACTATTACTCCGTCCTTCGTGCATTTAAATGGCCATCGTTTCCATAGTGTTGCTTTCAGGTGCTCTGTGAACTCAGAGCTTAAGTAGAGTGCGTGGGCCCTCTGGACAGAGAAGGCCCACTGCTCTCGAACAGGGATGGTCTCTCACTGATGTTTGGAAGAAGAGCTCTGACTTTTGTGAGATTAAAGGCACTACTGTTTTTATGGTAATGGCACATTTTTGACATTCTGGAGTCTGGAAGCACATATTCGGCTTCTGTCTTGGTACTGGGTGTGGCTGTCTTTAATGGCCAGTGAGTTATTTTCACATACTAAATGTCCACGTATTTAAATGAGGGTGCCTTACATTGATGAGGCTACTCTTTTTATTTTAATATTAACATCTGGGAGTAGGGAATATGCCTTTTAGTGGGGTTACAGGTACTGGTTATAGATATTTTTCCTCCTGGGAAGAAGTGACATATAAGGTTTTATTAAGAAGTACTACTTGTGGAGTGTATGTATGGGGAGGGAGAATGGGAAGAAGTCTCAGGATTTTTCCTTATATATTTTTTTCTTCTGTTCATTTCTAGTCTTTATAACCTGGCTTCCCTGGAACTGAGGGAGAATCTTCTTACATATCTTCCTGAGTGAGTCTTATGGGGAAGATAGGAGGGGATTTTTGTACTAAATGAATTTCTTCAAGTGGTTAAAAAAGAAAAGTACTACAGTATTTGTCACAAAGAGATTCTGTGTCTTTTGGAAAGTTTGGGAGATGCCTGCCTTCCCTTACTAATTTTTCCTTGGTAATATTTACTGCCAGGCAATCCAAATGAGTCTTATTTTTGGAAACTAGTCCAAGTTAGGGATACTGTATTGCTCAGCATTTCTAAATACTCTCTAAGAGTTCCTTTCTTTCTTTTTTTAAATAGCTCTCTTACCCAGCTGCGGAGACTAGAAGAACTTGATTTAGGAAACAATGAAATATATAATTTGGTAAGCCTGTATTGAAGAGAGATTTAGATTTAATTTTGTCCTTAGGTATGATCAAAACATACTTCAGGGGAGATCCGTAGGGATGTATTTTCACATATACAGCTTGGCAGTATTAGAGAATGTGTTTGATTTCACACAGGTTGAGAATTATGTGAGAGTAGGGAGGGTCAGTACTAGATGTGATGGGTGTCAGTGGAAACTACTGGCATTCTTTTTTTTTGAAGTTTGTTTATTTATTTTGAGAGAAAAAGAGAAAGAGCACAAGTGGGGGAGGGGCAGAGAGGGGGGAGAAAGAGAGAATCCCAAGCAAGCCCCATGCGTCAGAACAGAGCCCGACACAGGGCTCCATCCCATGAACCATAAGATCATGACCTGAGCTGACATTTAACCCACTGAGCCACCCAGGTTTCCCCTACCAGCATTCTTGGAGAGCTTTGGGAGTGCTTGAAGGATGGGGGACTTGTATTGGAAAAGTACAAAGTAACCTCCTCTGTGATACCCATTTATTAGCTGTTGAATTAGGATTCTTTCGGAAGACTAAACATTCGATCTTTGTTACCATAACATTATTTTTTTGTTTCAGCCAGAATCAATTGGAGCTCTCTTACATCTAAAGGATCTCTGGTTGGATGGAAATCAGCTATCAGAATTACCTCAGGTGAGTGGCAGTTTCACATTGTTTCCTCCAAATTATAAACAACCACAACCACTGCTCATGCATTCCCTGCTTCTGCATGAGATTTTCTAGAAGAGCGATCTTAAAAACCAAAAACATTGGTTGAAAAAGCACATTTGGAAAAATATATTGAGCACTCAAGCTATACTGCCATAGAAAAATCGAAAGCCTCAACCCACAATTTCTAAAGATAGCAAATATATCCTTTACTTTGTGAAGTCTGTATTTTATTTCATCTTTGCTCCCCATGTGGCTTACCTCAAGCCCAGTAAACTTGTAAATTACCAGGACTCCTGATTCTTGATGGCATCCATTTCTGTCCCTCATTGCAATGTGCCAAGCGCTTTGGGATGACTGTGACCACACTCTGTCCTGTAATAGTTGATGTCAAAGAAATGTTAAAAGCTTTTATTTAAAAAAGTTTTTGTAAATATTGCTTGTGGCTTAGCTGTTATGTCAGGGTGTTCAGGTTCCTACTTTTTTAAAAGTTTTATTTATTTTTGAGAAAGAGAGACAGAATGAGCAGGGGAGGGTCAGAGAGAGGCGGAGACACAGAATCTGAAACAGGCTCCAGGCTCTGAGCCGTCAGCACAGAGCCCGACGTGGGTCTGGAACCCATGAACCGTGAGATCATGACCTGAGCCGAAGTCAGATGCTTAACTGACTGAGCCACCCAGGTGCCCCCAGGTTCCTACTTTTAACAAATGTAAGAACTCTGTTCCAAATGAAGTGGAGGGAGCCAAAGTAAGCAGGCTTGCCTTCTGGTTAGATGAGAAAGAAATGTAAGCCAACAAACGCAACAATAAAAAACAAGCATTTTCCCCTTATTTAATTTAATAATTTAATTGTATTACTAAAATTTATTCTTGGATATATCTTACAGCCAGTCTTTTTTATTTGTTTGTTTTTGAGAGAGAGAAAAGAGAGAGAGTGTGAGTAGATAAGAGGCAGAGAGAGAGGGAGACACAGAATCAGAGCAGGCTCCAGGCTCTGAGCTGTCAGCACAGAGCTTGACACAGAGCTCATACTCATGGACCACAAGATCATGACCCGAGCCAAAGTCAGATGCCCAACTGACTGAGCCACCCAGGTGCCCCTCTTACACCTAGTCCATGAGGGAGAAGAAGGGGGGAAATGGTGGGGGAAAGGGAGAGAGGCAGACCATGAAAGACTCTTGAATGCTGAGAAACAAACTGAGGACTGATGGATGTGGGAGGGAGGGGGGAGATGGGCATGGAGGAGGGCACTTGTGGGGATGAGAACTGGGTGTTATATGGAAACCAACTTGACAATAAACTATTTGTAAGAAAAAAAAATAAAAAGAGATTAAAAAAAAATAAAGTCCAGGTATATTTCATGATGGTCTAGGTGCTGATATTTTCTGTGTTTGTGTGTGTGTGTGTGTGCGCTCGCGTGTGCACATGTGCATGTGAATACACAAGCAAGAGAAGGGCAGAGAGAGAGAGAAAAAGAGAGATAACCCTAAGCAGCCTCCACGCCCAGCACAAAACCTGCCATGGGGCTTGATCTCAAGACTGTGAGATTTCAACCTGAGCTGAAATCAAGAGTCAGAGGCTTAAACTACTGAGCCATGCAGGCTCCCCAAGGAGCTGATATTTTAAAGCCAATCAGATGCTCAGGTGTCTGTTCAGACATGTGAAGCTGGTGTGATGGGGTGAGGTGCACGTTAGGTGAGGAATGCTGTGTCAACATACGAAGTCTGATACTAAGAGAAAGTACTCAGTTCAACTTTATGGTTGTAGTTATAGCACTGGACTTATTATGACCTCTTACAACTTCCCTTACAACTGAGGGAAGTAAGGAACTAATTGGAGTCTCTTTCTGAGGTCTTGACTATGTTTGGGGAAAGGAGACATGTTAGCAACTGATGTGGATGAAGGTTTGATTAATCCTAGATTTCTCTAGGAAATCATGTGAAATCCTGGTTGAGAGAATTCTAGTTACTTTGGGAGTCAGGGAATGGGGAATAAAAATACCATGAGGTTATTAGGAAAGTAATAACACCAGTTCTGGGATGTGATGGGAAAAGAGTTTATGTGTGTACAGATGTGTGTAAATTATTGTGTACAAAATGCCACATCTCGAACACAATAAAATTAGAACTCCAATGATCTTGTTGTAAATGGTTATTTAAACATCTCACGTATCCCTCTTTAGAAACTTCTGTTGGGGCACCTGGGTGGCTCAGTCTGTTAAACATTGGACTTTGGCTCAGGTCATGATCTTGTGGTTCATGGGTTCAAGCTCTGCAACAGGCCCTGTGATGACGGCTCAGAACCTGGAGCCTGCTTCAGATTCTGGGCTCCCTTTCTCTCTGCCCCTACCCTGTCTACATGTCTCTCTCTCAAAAATAAATAAACATTAAAAAATTTTTAAGAAAAAAAAAGAAACTTCTATTAAACCAGGAATCAATGCATCAGATACTCTAAATAATCAGAATTATTTTCCTGTTGTCATTGATGACAGAAAGAAAAGCATGCAAAACGCTGTTAAAAGGAATTAATGAAAAGGTAGAACAATATCAAGGGTCAGGACTGAAATCCGTAGAAACGCAGTGTAGTTTCCTACAAAGAGGAATTACAGGGACTGAAGGTTCAGAGGATGTGTATTAGGTAGGAGAAGCTGGAAAAAGTAGATCAAACCAAATTAAGTATAGATTGAAGGATTTGTACCTATGGAGACATCAAGGAGCCACTAGACATTTTAAGTTTTTTTTTTTTTGGGTTTTGTTTTTTTTTTTTTTAGCAGAAGGGTGGTCTGATTACATGCCTAGAGCTAGCTATGTTTCTAGGAGGGAAATATGGAAACAACAGTCTGTTGCACAGACATGGACAGGGAGTGTCAAGGTCAGAGCTAACTGCCTAAGTGAGAGGGGGGATTTAGTGCCAGTGGGCTGGAAAGTGGAGGCTGTTCTAAAAGAGGAAATACGTGTATTTTGTGAATGGAAGGTAAGCTACCTCTTGTATAGAATGTTAGACTCCTTCTTGCCCCACTTCTTGGATAGCCTGTGGTCTTTGAAGGCAGTACGCTTCTCTCTTCTTTTGATGGTCAAAGTGTCAGTGGGTCCGGGGTACAATTGCACTGATATTTGTTGTAACAAGTACTACTGATTATGGGAGATATAAAGTAGATAGTCTCTTAACAGAGAAAATGTCAGGGTCACCCTGAATTGTAAGCTGCTTACCCAAGTGACTGAGTCTAAACTTGAAGAACTGGATTCCAGGCTCCTTCTGTTTTTTTTAATTATGTTACCCTACAGTCATTTGTCCTCTCTTGGTGCCAGTCTCTTCATCTGTTATGTGACAATGATTCCTTGCCTGCCTGAAGTTGGTGTGGCATCCCTTCCAGCTCTGTGTCTGTGATTTATACAGCTTCCCGTTTTCATTGGAAGGAGGTCTGGAAATTTACTCCAGCCTCGTCCTATAGATAAACGCTAAAGAAACATTCTCAGCACTGCTTTGGGAATTGACTGTGAAAAATCCCTGTAAGAAATTCCTCTGTACTGTGACAGGGTTAAGCATGAGTCTCTTTTTCTGTGTCACTGGTTTAGGAAATAGGAAATCTGAAGAGCCTGCTGTGCTTAGATGTCTCTGAAAACAGGTTGGAAAGACTTCCTGAAGAAATCAGTGGCCTGACTTCATTAACAGATTTAGTCATTTCCCAGAACTTACTAGAAGTGATTCCGGATGGCATCGGTAAGTATTGAAAGTAACTGCTTTCTAAAGATGCTGTCTGTTGTCTCGAGCGTGTGGAGCTCACTCCTTTGATCCTTTTGGTCACCACTCTCAGGTGCTGGGGAGGGGGCTCCTTTAGTCTCTTTGTTTATTTGTTCTTAAAGAAGAAATGCAAAGAGCGTTAAATACAATTGAAGTTTCTCAGTGTGCAGATAATTCTGTCATCCTGGTTTGGTAACAAATATACCTATTATTACTTCTAAATGTTGACTCATCTATTTCATCCACATCTTGTTTCAGAGATTTCCATAGAGATTAGTCTGAATAACAGAATATATTTCAGGCATGTGAGCAGTCACTGAGAAATTTCTAAGTGAGCATCCTAAATAGCTTGTGAGAAAGTAACTCGGACTTTATGCATGACCTAGGGGAGAATGGTGTGTCTGGGTTGAGCCTTTTCTAGTTCATTGAAAAGAATCTTTTCCTTTAACCATTCTGTGCTGTTTCCATTAAAAAAAATGAGCCCAGACATTTCCTTTACCATAAAGATATTCAGTTCATTTTGAGAAAATAAACACAGAGAAGGTATAAACAGATTCAGACCAGGAGCTCCACCATAGCAAAGCTGCTTAGAAATTGTCAGAAACTACGTTTATCCAAATAGTTAACATGGGCATGTTGTCTTTGACCTTTGTTTGACTTTTATTCTAAATATCAAGGGAAGTTTCTGAAAGTTTTTCAGTAGTTGGAGAAGCTATATGACAGAGGACCACTTCCTTTCTGCTATTTGGTCAAGATGAAAGCAGTAACATAATAGCATCTCAGCAGGAACACAGACATTGCCTTTTGGTTCAGACTGGTTGGAAAATTGATGGGGATTTTGACTCTAGGTAGAGATGTTCCATGAGAGGGATACATGGCACCTGCAGACAGTCTGTAGGCACTGGGAACGTTTAGTCGCTTGGCATAGGAAATAGGAGGTGTGAGATGGCTGACTTTAAAAGGCTGTCATGGAGAAGGGAGGTCAATTTGTTACATATTCTAGTACAGATGGGTGCAAGGAAAAGATATAAAAGAAATATTTGTTTACAAATTAGTTTGGGCTGCTTAGTAAAGGGACGATCACTTGGAAGTGGTCAAAGAGAGGCTGCAAGACCTCTTTCCAGAAAACTGTTAAGTCGACTCTGTTGAGGGGAGATCTATCAATTCAATTCAGTGTGCTCTCCTGCCAGTGAGGACAGGCACAAAGCCTCTGGGGACAGTATTAGTAGGTTATTGATGATGCTAAATAAAGAGCTTAGGAGTCCATTAGTTCTCCTGCCTTGCTCTGTGACCACATAAAAGGCATGTTAATTTTTTCAACACGTCCCTTTCTCCAGCTTTACGTCTCTTTAAGATAGAAGTGGCTTTCTGATTTTACTAGGGACTGTGTCATCATGCTGGCCTCTCTCAGTAGATGAGGAGAGTTATAACTCTTTCCCTTGAGTTATAGTTGAACATGAGAATCCAAAAGCTTTAGGCTTTTCTTCACTCCGGGGATTTTGACGAAGCTGTGGTCACTCCATTCTTCCTGCCCTGAGTGAAATACAGTTAGTTCTTAATGTGGCTTTTCAAAGATTTCCATTTTACTCTGCATATCTAGAAACACTTCATTATATGAATCATCACTGAGGCATTTTCATTTATAGGTGATACAATAAACTGTACTTTATTGTTTTTTGTTTTTGGTGAGGATCAGTCTTGGAGGAAGATGAAAGCCTCTCTCCTTTGTACGTGATACATTTACTGTTCTTAAGGATCCATCAAGAGCTAGCTGGCTGTTTTTCTGTAAATTTTCTGACTTTGATACAGTATTTCCATGTAGTCACTTTTAAAATGATTTGTTTCTAATTGCTGACCGTTTCTGATGTTCTGATAACATTTAACTTTCAACCTTTAGTGATCTAAATGAGAATGATGTGGTTTCATAATGTGAAAGGTGGGTGAGGGGAAAAAATGAATAACTTTAAAACAAAAAAGAACAGCAGATAAGATATACTGAGTGATGGTTAGAAAGACAGTTGTAACTAATGAGTTGAAATAATACTTTCACAGGAAAACTAAAGAAACTGTCCATCTTGAAAGTGGATCAGAACAGACTCACCCAGTTGCCTGAAGCAGTTGGGGACTGTGAAAGCCTCACTGAATTAGTTCTTACAGAAAACCGGCTCCTGGTGAGTGTGGCTTGCACGTTCAAACAGATAGGTATAGTGTGCTTTCTATATCATAAAGACTTACTAGGGCAGATTCTACTTATAATTTGAGTGGACTACGTGAAACTCTTCTTATGTTACCTCTAAAAAAGGGACTTGTAAAGCAAATGCATGGCATAAAGATGATTGACTTTTAACCCGCCTCAGTGAAGAGAATGGTATTTAAGTTCCCCTTATAGGAGTCTTCAGCAGGTAGAGGGGTGAGCCACTGATGCCTCTGCCATGGTGTCTGAGGACCGCCAAAACAAATGTTCTCTCAGGGTTCTCTGAGCAAATGGAAAGAGAGAGAGAGAGGAGAGAGAAAAAATGGTGGTTGACCAGGGTGGGGGGTTGGGGGGTAAGTGCTCTGTGCTGCAGGGCTGGGTGTGGATCTGTGATCTTATCCCACCCTAGAAATTGGGAGTGGAGGTGGCTGCAAGTGCCCCTCCTATGGGCCAGGCTTCCCCGTCCTCCCAAGGGCAGAGCTTTGGGGTACACCACAGACCAGGAGTAGGTTAACGGAAGGGCAGCAAATCTCACTTGCTTCTCACTTCCTGCTGCTTCCTCTGCTTTCCATCAGGCCTTCCTTTATTACTTCATCCTCTCCTTTCTTTCCTCTTTTTGTCATCTTGTAGCAGTTTTTGCTTCAGTTTACTTTCCTCCCTTTCTCTTTATTTTTGTCTCTGTATTTCCTACCCTACTTTCCCTTCTTCTTTTTCTTCTTCTCTTCTTTCTTTATAAAAAGTGTCAGTAATACTCTTGAGGTAGAAAGAGCAGACGAAGACAGCAGGAGAGGACAGGACACAGAGCTGGTGGGGGAGCCTGGCCGTATCTCTCCTCAGGCAGCCGCCTCTGGCGGTGGGAGTGGGAGTGACCTCATCTTCCCATCCTAGTTTGTGGTTTCAGGCTTTTGAACAGTAATCATAACACTTATAAAAGCAGTGTTCATTCACCCCTGGCTTTTATCAGAATGTTGAAGCTCACTCCTCCATCACGGCCCTGCCTGGTTCCTATGTTCTGTGCACCCCCCACCACGCCCCCCAGTCCTGTTCACCTTGCTCGTGTCCCCATGCCACTCACGGCACTCGTGCTCAGGGTTCTGATTTCCCCCAAACACCTGGCTTCCAGTCATCCAAGCCATTCTCCCAGTGTGGCTCCTGAAGGTGCAGGTAAAGGGATGAATCTTGAGGTGCAGATTCTTCTAAACGCTAAAGAACAATCATTACCTCTTTACTAGGTGTTTCTCTGTTCCCAGGTCTGTGCCTTTGACTTCATTTCATTGAAACGTACTCTTGTTTGAACAAAAATGCAAAACCTATTTAATTCTGCATCTTCCAAGCCAGATTTAATGTATCTGATATTCAGGAAGAACTATTATGTCTCTTACTGGATGAGATTATATTCTTTAAGTCCTTAAGAAGATCTGTTTTACTGTGAACCATGTCTTTGAAAATGTATTAAATTAATAATTAAAATGTTATTTTAACAGACTTTACCTAAGAGCATTGGAAAACTTAAGAAGTTGAGCAACTTGAATGCAGACAGAAATAAATTAGTGTCTTTACCAAAAGAGGTATGTGTTTTAAAAAAACAATAATAATTATAAAGAAATAATAGCATACGTAGAATCTGAAATATCAGATGTTTTAAAAGACTTCATGTTCTTTTTAAATGTTACATACTCTCATTTGCGGGCACAGAGATGGTCAGAGGCGTTGTATCAAAGAACAATCATCAGTACCATTAAAGAGAGTAGGTGGGTCCAGAGGATTCTGAGCATTATTGAGAAAGGTGACTTGATAGGATTTTAAATGGGAGAAAAGGGAGAGTTTGAGGTTCTGACTTGACATGGAGAGAACGGTGACACCATTTGGGAGTTTAGCAGAGGAGAAAGTAGATGACGTTGGGGCTGAATTTAAAGTGAAATTAAACCACTTCCAAAGACATTAGAAGTATAAAAGTGGACCTGGATGCAACCTTTTTCCTAGGCAGAGATTGATTCCAGGCAGTGTTAATGTCCAGGAGAGAGTGAATGAACTCTTCACAAAGGCATTTCCATGGAGGAGGATGAATGGGAAGCTATAGACAGATTCTTAGGTATTTTTTTCTTTTTTTTGGCCAATGGTCCGTCCAACCAGGAGAAAAGACCATCACCATCCATTGTGGGGAATAGTTGTGCAGACTCAGAGGCATGCAAATTCTGGAAAGGGAAGTGGAAATGCTGAGGTTGAGAAGGAAATTCAGAGCAGATGCAACAGGGAGGCATCTAGTCTGATGTTTAATAAGAAGGTTTACCTTCTCTTTGGAACTAGGAGAACTTGGAGGTGGGTAGTATCGAGATTGATTTTTTTGTTGGCCATTAGCCTGAAACCCCTTTGCAGCCGCCTTTCTTCCTCCCATCAAATGCTAGTGGGCCCTCCCCTTTTGATAGGCCTCACGTGACAAGGTGTAGTATCATGTGGTATAATCCCTGGCCAAGCATAGTGTGGTGTTATTTGTAGAAAACATTTGCAAATGTTTCTATCTTGACCCTTTCCTACATCTTCTTGGGATGATTTTAAACCTGCCATCCCACCAGCCAGAACTTGGGGGTTTCTTATTTCCCTAGGGCTTGGTGTGGTTTCTCTTTCCCCATCTTTACATTGTACCCTCATTGTCCCAGCCTTCTGCCTGGGCAAGACAGCCAGCATTCCTGAGGGGAAGCATGGTGGGTATTTGTTATAAATGTGGCCATTTTCTGACCCACCCTTACTCTGAGCCCTGGTACTTCAGTGAAACTGTTCCCCACAGAAAGATTTAACTGTATCTCTGCTAAACTGGCTCACAAGTAAGAGATCCTGCTAATGAGCACATTTTGGTTGCCTCCTCACAGTAATAAACCACAACACAGAGCTAATATTCTGAATATTGATTTTACTCTTGTTGCATGGGTAATAGACCAGATACATAGACACATGCACAGAGAAGTAGAAAGAATTTAATATGTGCTTTCTCAGCGCCATGCACTGTACCCAGAGCTGTCATATTGAATAACTCACTGGATCTTCACAACAGGTGAGGCCATGAGGGAAATTTCCTTATTTACAGAGGAGGAAACTTAGCCCAGGGAAAAGTTTTCCTTAGCAGGCCTTACATAGCTAGGAGTTAGCAGAACCGATGTGAGAGATATGTCCTGACAGCAAGCCCCCTGCTTGCATAGGCTGAGAGAGCATGACCACTCAGGTTAGATACAGGTTCGGTCCAGCCTGTTCATTGGTGTGCCCTTGAGTCAGTAAAGAGAGGTCAAACTATCTTTAGTGTGGATATGTTAGAAAATTAATTAATTTTAGGGACACTTTCAAGGTTAGTGCCAACGAGAGTGCTTGGAAGAAGTTGAATGGCCATCCCCAGTAGGCTTCTCCACCCAGCCTGTCTTCCCCGTCCCTCTCTTCTGATTCTCTTTCGAAGGAACATTCTATACAAAACTTTAACATTTTACTTGTAAAATGATTGCCTTCATTTCGGCATCTGTCCTCTTTACATTCTGAGAATGAAACTTGCCCTCAGGGTTCAGAGGGTTATGCCCACCACATGCCGTGTGTCTGTGTAAGTTTCTTAGAACAGCTTTCCACGTTGTGGAAAGTGAACATAGTATGAAAATAGTCCTAGCTTCAAAGCATTTTCTTAGCTGTCACATGGCATCTCTTCTCTATGGAATTGTGGTTGGCTTTGTGGCATGTAGAGTTTACAAAGGATTAAAGTCTGTGCCCCTTCCTTCAGCTGTGAGGTAAAGCCAAGAATGTTCACAGCAGAATCCACTCTCTTCTGGCACACCTTCACTAGTGACTACTCATGCAAGCTCACCTCCCAGAGCAGGAAGATGCCCTGAGCACATATCCTCGTTCTGACGTGGCTTACAGTTTGGTGACCCAGCAGAAATGGCTGAGTACTTGCTGTTGACCATTGGGGCTGAGCAGCCAGGCCCCTGAAGTCCTCCTGACCCCAAAATGTGTCACGTTGGTCTGGGGAGCACCACTGTGCCATTAGTCTCTGTGCAGTGAGTGTGGTAGGCCCTGTGACCGTGTGTGTGTGTAACTGGGTGGGGGACAGATGGGGTGGGCTGTGTACACTTGCTCTGCCTCCAAGCTTGATACCATTAGATCATATGCTATACTTGCCTGATTGGAGTCTTCTCTTTCAAAATGTGACTACTTCTTCTTGAACCATGAAGTTGTATGCATGACCTATCTAAACTGAAATGCTGACCAATTCAACGTATAGGCCCAAAATCCATGATTGTTTTAATTGCTATTGCTCTGGTGTGCTGTGTGGTTCTTCCTATTTTTTGTCTTTCTTTAATTTGATATTCTTGCATATCATCAGTTTTATATAGCACAGCTCCTTAGTCGTTTTCAGTGTTTATTTGTATTTGTTTTTTCCCAAACAAGGGGAAAATGTTTGTACTGTGTGGGTCACAATAACAGATTTTGTTTGTGTTTTGTGGTGTTATTTGTAGTAAACATTTGCAAATCAATGAATGTTTCTTATTTTCTTAATTGTTAGCTGCTTGGAAATTTAGAAAAGTCGGGTAAACTTGTTATCTTGTAAGTATTGTTCAGACCACAGTTGCATCTCTAACTTCCATTTTGCTTCATAAATGCATGAAGATCCAAATCAACTGACTGCTGTGTGTGTTCCTCATTGTAAAATATTGTACATTTTCCTCTAAACTCAGTTTTTTGTTTTTCAAAATGACTGCATGGCCTGGAACCTTATTTTGTTATGTGTTTGTCAGATTTGTTCAAACCATTCTCTCTCAAAAGAATGCTTTTCTGTGAATTACATTTTAAGTTATTTAGACATTCTGAAAGGCGTGACATGGCAGCTCATCTGTCTTCACTAAATTCAAGTTTGTTGGCACAACTATCTCTCTAATGGAAAGGCTAGATGTGCTTTATTTGCTTCCTGTGGCATGCTTATGAGTTTTTCAGCAAGTTATTTGTGTCTTTCATTTCTCATCCTCTCGTATAAGTATGAATGCTTCCGGGAAAAGAAGTCTCCTTAAAAAGCTCATGTTTTTGGTAGAGGGAAGAATTGAGGAGAAGAGACTGTGCTATATGATGCGTGGACAGACAGGGAATTGGTTTATGTGTGATCATGGGTATGATGAAAGAGATCAGGCAGCTTCATGTCATTTCCCAGCCAAATTGTACCTTCAAACCACCTGCCCCAGCTAAAGAGTTTCTGGCCAAAAGAAACTGAGCATGTGTCCAAGCTTAGTCTTTTGTCTTTATTAGGTCAAAATGAAAAGTGATCTTGACTCTATGTCAAGATCATGTCTACAGTTACATGAGGCAAGATAGGATTGGAAGATCATTCATCAGAGCTTTTTTTCCACTTTTTTAAAAATGAGGCAATCTCTCAACATTAATTACCCATAAATATTGTTGTAATTTTTGTAAGTATCTGTGGTGACAGTTCATTCTGTGGATAGCTTTCTATCTTCTTCTTATTACAATTCAATTTAATGTAAGCTTCCATCATATTCTGAAACTGATTATTGATAAGAGAGATGAGGTAAAACCTAAAAATACTAGAATAAGATATAGTTGGCTATTGGATATCAAAATGGAGACGGCATTCCTAAACTTAAAAGAGGAAATAGGTCATAAAAGAAACAGTTGATTGATGTGTCTGTGTGAAAATTAGATTTCTGATCATCAAGAAGGTAAAGTCAGCCTGGGGTAAGGGGACATTTACAACATCACCTGAGGGAGGTCTCCCCTTACTCTGCTTAAAATCATTCCAGATCATTGAGAAAAAAGATAGTCCCACTAGTAGAAAAAAGCAGACAAAAATAAAAGCAAAGAACCGATCACAGGAGATAATAAGTGATTCAGAGAGTTAAAAATAGAAATGGCTATGTGTGTGAAAAAAATTTTAGCCCCATCAATATTCACAGAAATTTTAATGGAAGCTTCTTGACGTGTCAAATTGTAGATTAAAAAAATAATAAGGATACCAAGTGTTGGCAAGGACATGGGAAAATGCATGTTGTCATGTAAGAATAACTTATTACAGCTTCTCTGGAAGGGAGGAAAGTAATATCAAAACCTTTGAAAGTGTTCATACCCTTTGATCCTGGAATGCCACTTCTAGGACTTTGTCCTAAGAAAACAATTATGGACATACATTAAAATCATGCCCAAGAAGATTTCTCACATATGTAGAGGAGCAGCTAACAGATTTCAGGCTCCCCATCAAGCATGTGCAGGGGCAGCTAACCTGCACCAGGAGCCGTGTTGAGGGCTTTCCTGCATATGCTTGTCTGATTTTCACAACAGTTCTGTGAGGTGTGGCTAAATTGTTATCCATATGCAAGATATTGTGAAACTGAGACTCAGCATAAGAAACTCACCCAAGATTACACAGGGAAGAAACGGCAGAACCAACTAGCAATGTGTACTCTGGGTGATCTGTGAGTCAGCTGTAGAGTGAAATACTTACGGGATCAGTAAGAATCCTTTTAGAAACATAATGACGTGAGAAGACATTCTTGATGTCATATGAAAACAGGGGTGCTGAAGAACTAGC